AGAATAATATACCAATGATTTATGAAATTCAAAAAAATATAAATATAAAGTTAATTGCATTTTGACGATAATTGAATTAATATATTCAATATGGACATTAAATATCTTACATATGCTGAAACAGTCTTCATATTTATATCAGGGTTGATTATACTTTTTATTTGCACCTTAGTGGTTTTTTCTAGTTGAAACTGCAGTTCCGCGCAATTTTTTAATTCGTTCATTGTCAATTGATTTTTCAGTGGACTACAATAATTATTCATCATGGGAACTTTATTCACAAGGCTGCACATGTATCCTAAATTTAATCCAGTATATGATGGTTTGAAGTCTGGTTCACATTGTTGAATTACTTTCAATACATTTTGATGCTGATCATGTTTAAAACATCCTTTATTAATGATGTCATTGAATGAAATATTATAACTCTTCATTTCAGACTGTAAATTTGTCAAAACATCTGCATATAAAAACAATAATGTTAATATTTCCCTTTTTATAAATAATTGTATTTTTAATTATATAATATTACCTGATGTATTTAATGTGTTACTGTTTCTTCCTACAGCATCAAATAAATATATGAATGTTTGTTCTGTTGGTATTAAGGAATCATTTTTTATCATAGTATATAAGTCTAATACTTTTTTAATATCCTTTTTGGAAGCGTAAGCTTCTAAGATGATGTTATAAAGTTCAATACATTTTTTATTGTGTTGTAAATTATTATTCCTAGATTTCCTATATTTCATTAATATTCTATTTGTTCTATGCAACATATTACAATTTAAATATACTTGCATATGGGCTAATAAGGTTTCAATGTAATTATCTGTGGCATGTCGATTATTAATCATACAATGAGTCTTTTTTTCCACTTGACAATTATTTCTACAACAATGAAAATCATTTTAAAATATTAAGTAAATGGAAATAAACTTGCTAATTACTAAATTATTAAAAATAAAACGATTATGTGTCAACAAATACATGAATATAAAGTAAAAATCTGAATATACACTATATTTAATGAAAGGTGATAATCATTAATATTTCATTCGCAAAACTATTAATAAATGAACACCCATTTGGATATGTTAATTTTATACTTTTAATCTATACATGTACTTACTTCTTAATATGTATACTTGAATCTGAAAATGTATTTTTATCATTATCCAATTGCTTGCAATAATTCATCTTTTTAGACAAAGTATTCTCAATGCTTTCCTGCTGTAATTATATTTATATCATGTTTGTATATACATGCACACATATAATAATATATGCAAAAATCAAATTTTAAAACTTACAATATTGAAGTTCTTTTCACTTTTAAGAGAATCATGGTTTTCTTTGCATGTATTTAAATCAGAAGTAATACATTGATCTTGACAGTGATCAGAATTATTGTTTAAAGTAGAACTTATTTGAGGTGATTTGTCCGCAATATTATCTTGACCAACCAGCACTGATATATTAGAAGCTTTTATTTTTTGTATTGTAGTTTTTTTATTACTTGCTCTTTCATTTGTTACTGCAATAAAAATATTTCATATTACAATAGTTGCTCAAAATCAAAATAATATTACTTAATTATGAAAAATTATTCATGTAAAATCATACTTTCGAGTAGCTCTGCATACAGTCTTCTTTGCCGATTTCTTTTCTTCATTACAGACAGATGTAATAAATTTGTTGTAGTAGTATTAGTCCGTATTTGATGATGCATTACTAAAAAATTATTAAACATTAAATACTGTGTAAAATATAATTTCATTAATGATTAAATATTTACTAGATTAATTTTTTTTAATTAATCAATTATAAACACATTGTTTATTAATAATATTATTACATTCTGATAAAAACATGAATTCATTATTTTGAACATGAATTTCATTTATTTCTATAACAAAAAGATTTATTCTTAATTATAAAGATAAAAAATAATAATTGATAATAAATAATATGCTAGAATTATTATTTTTAGTTTTCAACTGCAATAAGAAAAACTGTTCTATAAGAGCATCATATTACATAAAAGTTATAATTCTAACTATTGAAAAGTAAATAAATAAATGTAAAACCATTGTTACTAAAGCAAAAAGCATTAAAAATTACATAATATTTAAAATAATAAATAAATCGATAGAGTAGAAAAGATATTTCACTTTTAATGTTAATAATTGTATCAAATTTAAAAAAAGAGATACAAACAAAAAATTTTGGTAACACAAACGAGTTACATGCTAATTGTAAACTACAGAAATTAAAACTATTATTTATTTAATAAATATTAATTTGTTTATATACTCTAACATACATTTTGATACTTTTCCGTGGTAAAAGTTACAAAAAGAACACAACCTTATAGAATTTTGCATGATTACTTGCGAAGGCATTAATAAAACGTTGTTCAAAGAAATTCGTTTTGTAATTTGCAGTAGCAAAAATTTGCACATCTTCGTGCGATAAACAAAATTAATAAGAAGATATTAACAAATTCATTATTCGGCAAAATCTTATGTATTTAAAATAACCTAAAACACTGTATGGAAACCGCATTTTGTACTATCAGAGACGAGATATAGAATAGACATAACAAACAATATAAAATTTTGTCACACGCTCTAGGGAGTTCCAGAACCTCCTTATCATTTTCGTATCACGCCCTGTCATATCGACTTAGGCAGCGCTATAAGTGATAGAAATTAGAATAAAAAATATTGAAGCACAGCCTTAGAATACGTACTACATATCAATGTAAAATCAAGTTATGTTTATTTATAAATAAGTGAACAAGTATATGTATACATAATTATTTAATGGAATAATTACTGACTCATATTTTGGTTTTAGTTACGATTTTAATATTTGAATTTTGACAATCTTTAGAAAAATACATTGTATGTACAGTCCGGACATATATTACGTTTGTGTTTAATATTTTTAATTCTAATTTCTATCTCTTATAACACTGCTATGCAAAACCAGCCTAAGTTGATATGGCAGGGCGTGATACGGCATGGGTAAGGAGTTCCTAGAATCCCTGAGAGCGTGTTATAAAATTTTACATTACTTGTTATGTCTATTCTATACCTTGTCTATGGTGCAGCATACGAAAATTGTTACTTCTTCACATACACTTTTCTCTTTCTTTTTTATTCAATGCTTCATAAAAAGTAATATAAATATCATTTACAAAGAAGCGACACGTTGTCTCGTATATATTTTATATTTCAAGATCATCCAATTTATTGAACATTAAAAATTTCAATCTAAATTTTACTTCTGTAAGAGTATTTTATAGTTATATTTATAGACAACTTCTGAATGAATACACCAGGGGTGTTGAACTGGAAGTTTACGAGCTTTGTAGGGTCTTTCCTCTCACGAAGAGTTACCCTTAACATAAGTATTTACTTATCTCTTTACAACTTTCACCCGTATGTATTGAACACTAAGTACTTACTTACTTAAGTACATAGTAAATACCTATTTAAGTACTTAGTTCCTTTATTCTAAACTTATCAATACTCTTTTATTTTACAGGATGTATTAAACTTCATATGTAAATCTTAAATAATAATTAATTAACGGTAATACTGCAGGATTCTTGCAGATAAACCGATTTTCGTTAAATTGACAAATATTATAAAAATGCGCATTTTAAACAACTTTTTTCTTTAACAAAAATATTGTAACTCCATGAGAATCAAAAATATTGATGGATACTGTGTCTGAACAGTATCTGCGTTTCTACAGTTCGACCACTCAAGATGCAGAATTTGTTTGGAAACTTTTCGTTCTCCATTAAATTCCCCATCTTTTCTTATATTCAGTATATTAGATATAGCGAAAAGTTTTGTCCGTTTTTGAATTAAAAGAAAATAATACATTGTTAAACATTTATTAATATTTACTGGACAATATAATTTCCTTCGTTACTAATGACCTCTTTCCAGCGAGATGGTAATTTGTGGATTCGGAAACTTGATGACATTATTATTCTGTACTTTAAGGGGAAAGTAATATTTCTGAATTTTCAACGCAAATATACACAATCTTTAAATTTTTTACGCTTTTACGCTTTGCTTCATAAAGTCTATTTGATTTTAAATTAAAAAAATAATTTACAAAAATCTCGAACGTGTTTAATTTTTATAAAAAACCGTTGGATTCAAATTGGAAAGATTTTTGAGAATTATGAAGTAAAAACATAGATGGAGGTTATGCGGTGCCGCTTCTTGTACAGCCCCACTCAGGACAATACGGCCCCGCTTGTATCAATCTCTATTATCTAATAAGTGAAACTCATTTCTATATGTAAAAAACAACATATGAAACTAAGTATTGTGATTGACCGAAATCTGTTAGAACTTTTATAAAGGAAAATAGGTACCGAAGTACCGTGAAACCCGAGAAGATCAAAGGCCGAAGCGACAAACATGCTCCGCTATCCTCATGGTCGTTTCACAGCACGCTCATGCGCATATAGAATTCAATGTAGGGGTAGCAGGGATTTTCCGCAATTATCTCTAAAACTAAAAGAAAACAATATTTTTGTCATAGGAAAAAATTGTTCGTAACACCGATTTTTACAATATTTGTCAATTTTATTAAAATCGATTTCCTCGCAAGAATTCTATAGTATTACATGATTAACCAATAAATAAATAAATAAATAAATATGAATATTATTAATATGAATTTACAACATACCGTTACAGTTTTTGAGTGAGAAATATTCGCAATTTCCATAAATGTCATTACTGTACAGTCTACGTAATGTTGTGTCTTTATTGAATAATTGTTTTTGTAAAAACAATGAACTGTTTGAAAATCTTGATTTTTTAAATAAAATAAGGCTTAAACCTTCTATAAAACACATTTAACGTACATTTGTGTTCTCAAGCAGTTGGTTTGAAATATTTTTGTTATCTTAAAACTGAAAAAATAAATGTTAGCATTGCATATATTATTAAAATTTTTGGATGTATTTTTTGTTTCTAATTTCACTTCTTTAGCTAGAGAACATAAATCTTCATTGTTGTTAAAAGTTCTTTCGTCAACTTCAATGATATTTTTTCAAAATAACGATTATCTAATTTTGAAGTTATTTAAAATAGAATTGATATAAAAGTATGTCGTGTAACATTATCTTATTTATTCTTCTATCCTTTTTAATGTAATAAAGTGAATACATGATAATTGATAAAATTCTACTGTTTTTATATAAAAATTATTATGTACTATTTTTAAGGTTATGCAATACTAAATAAGAAAGCAGCAAAATTTTATTCAACATTGTAATTTCATATGAAGATTAAATGTTCTGTTGTACTTATTTAGAATGGTACTTTATATTATAATTTTTATATTAAGTGTAACATATATATACATATGTACATACGTATATATGTATATACATATATGTATATACATATATATATATATATATATATATATATATATATATATATATATATATATATATATATATATATATATATATGATATGTATTACTTCTATATTTGTACATACACGTGTGCGTACTATCTGAGAAACTACAGGATCCGCAGATTGAGTACAACTGCTACATATAGGTCTACATGCAAAATCCAAACACGGTGGCTTGGATATGTATGTAAACGCGATAGGTATGTCATATTAAGTCAATCATTATTTCTCATAACCTTCTGATGAATGCAAAATATACCAGATGTAATTAGACAATCTTAAAAGATGTGGTTAAATCCGTACATCTTATAGCCGACAAGAGGTGAAGATAGACGTATACCATTTCCAATGGAGTGGACCGTGTTCTCGTGATTTTTGGCTCGAAGTAGATTTTACCGTATCTTCGCTTTGCGAGAAATTTTATTCGAAGTCTAGTTAACTGTGTAATCTCTGCAGCGTATCATATCATGGCCTCGACAAAGAGAAAGATTCAAATTGGTTCTGCTTGGTTTCAAACGAAAATTAAACTAAGACCACAGCATCGAGGTATTCATCACGTTACCGAAGAAATAGTAGGAAAAATTCCGGAGCTCTGTGAATTTTCTGTTGGACTTTGTCACATACAAAGTAAGTGAAATTCTGTGCCACGAGATCATTTCGTTATTATGTTATTTTTGCAAAAATATAGTGCTACAATGTGAACATTAAACTGTATGTATTACCCTATATTATTTATTTTACCATTTAATAGAATTTTGTTTATAATTCGTTATACTTAAAATGTTCAGTAACCTTCAATGTATATAGTATATTTCTCGAATAATAACATTTAAAAATGCATATCAATACACATTTTAAATATATACTAAACAATTGTCACTTATTAATATCTAGATTTAAATCATTTGAATTCATGCATTAACAAAAACAATTAGAATGGTATTTCTATATGAATCAAATTAGTGTGAACTAGCAAATGAATATTGCATTTATAAAATTTTTAGGTTTATATTAATAAATTATATAAACCTAAATTTATATTAATAATAAAATTGTTTATTTGTGATAAGACATAAAAATTACTAAATTTTAAAACTTTCAGTTCTTCATACATCAGCAAGTTTAGCGTTAAATGAAAATTGTGATCCAGATGTTAGAGATGATGTAGAAATGATGCTTAATAAAATAGTTCCTGAAGGTTTGGCCTATAGACATAGTCAAGAAGGACCAGATGATATGGTAAATTGATGAAATGCTTGTATAGTTCTTACAATCGGACAGTGTAATGAAAATTTATACTATATGATTTTTGATAATATATTTATATTTCAATGAAAATTATTTGTTATTATATAATATTTTTAAATAAGAAAGTAGTTCTATTTTCATTAAAAAATTATGTAACTCAATAAGACAATGTGTTCATGATTCAATAGCCATTGACTATTTTAAATTTCCATAAATCTTTTTATAATTATGTTATTTACAGCCAGCACATGTAAAGGCGTGTTTTCTTGGTTCTTCATTGAGCATTCCAATTACTGATGGCAAATTGACTTTGGGAAAATGGCAAGGAATTTGGTTGTGCGAACATCGTAACAATGCTGGAAGACGTAAAGCTGTAATAACATTAACTGGTTGTCTTCGTGATCCTGCAAGTAGCCCTTTGACTCCTGTTAGTCCTTTCGCCTCTACTAGCAGCTAGGACCACTCACACCCCCAAAGACGTAGTAAACGTCATCTGGGCATATCTAAATCCAATTATTCGATCTAGCAGCTACTTAAGTTTAATACAAATCTAAGAGTATAATTGAAAAAAGAGTGTATGGATACTGTAGAAATACACATAAATATACAACTTTATCTTATGAATTCAATTACAATATTCATTATATTATGGAATTTAGTCATTTTATTACTATATAGGTTTTAGAATAATAAAACTACTGACAATATTTATTATAAATATCATGTCTGTACGTGCAAGTGATGCATTCATTGTTTGTACTTCAATAGGTATAGATACAATACATATATAAAATTTGCATTTGGTAGTTCCATTGCGACTACCAACAGATACACATTCCAATCTAAGTTATCAATAATGATTGAAACATCCACTTCGGTAAACATGATGTTCAGTAGTTACAAACTGCCAAGGCATGTGTATATTGTATTCTGTATACATTCAAAAAGATAAAATCATATTAACTCAAGTATCCAGCACTCTTCTTTTTCGCTCTTAGATAAAACTGTGCATTCTAATATAATGCGTCCAATATTCCGAATTTAATTACATAGCTTTATTTAAGAAATCTTTTTGTAAAAACCATGAACAAGAAAATAGCATTAACAAATGCTCAACTGAGAACTTGCATTATTTTTTCTAATATTTAAAGAAATCTCAGTCCGGGCATATGTAATACGTTACAAATTTCTAACTCTGTGCTTATCATAGGGTAGGCATTTCTAATGACGTTTCCATAACATTGGGGGTGTATATAGATTATAATCAACATTTCTTTGCTGTGCTAATATATTTCAGCTAGGGATATTTACATATGTTTCAATAATAGTGTCGACGCGTGGACAAGTCGGAATGAAAGTAGAGTCTAATAATATTATTGAATTATACAAATGATTTAGAATTATCGCATTGTTAAGTAATAATTGATACAGAAATGCAACATAGCAATTTTTATTAAAGTCAACTAAAATATGTAAAATATTTGGGAATCTAGCACTGCGAAGGGCTGTAATAAGGATTAATTATAATGTTACAAAATTAACCAAAGCTTATCATGGGGGCTTGTTAACGTATCTAATATACTGTACAACAGACAGTTGGTGTTAGTTGTTAATATTTCTCATATGTAGCATAAATGATCATCTGTTACAGTTAATGGGAAAGCTTTAATGTAAATTATTTAATAATGCAGTTTATTAGGCTTAAACAAGAACAGCTCAAAAGTGTAGCATTATAAAATATAATAATTAAGATTACTAATTTGTAGCAAATTATAAATTTAGTTTATCTACCTTGACGATTTTGGGTCAGAAGAACACATATTATTATATGACATTAAAAATACAAAATGTAAGAATGTCATGTGCAAACGCAATTTTAAGTTTGTAATCGATCCGAGAAAATAGATTCCTTAATATCTAAAATGTATAAGTATAGTAAATATAAAAACTAAACAAATGTAATATAATTAATTTGCTGGTTAATTTAAAAAATTAAATAATTGGTATAACATTGTTTTTTTATAAAATGATGACTGTAAACTATGAAGTAAAACAGATATATTTAGTGAACAATTAATATTTACATAGTAATTAAAATGTACGTTTAATTTTTCAATTGCATTAATTAAGTTTATCAAAATTAATATAATAGAATTTTATTTTAATACACATGATAAAGTAACCAGTTTTTTAATAATATTTTTAATAAACTTGTAAATTGTAATTCGTTTAAAATTCAAATTTATGCACATACATTAGTAATTTGTAAAATATTGTATATTTGTGTCACTTGAGCATCTTCAATGAGAATCATGTGAACATTATTACCACACAATTTATGCGATACTGGAAATTTAAACTTTGTATATAACTCGCGTTCTGTTAAAATTAATAACATATTAGTAATTCAGTTAAATTAAGTTTTTATACGAAGATATATAAATTATAAATAACATATTTTTTTTCATATATAACATATTAATTCTATGTGGTTTTCTTATTTTTTGAAATAAGAACTTCCTTACAGTACTTCAACAGGTGATGTTAATATACTTGTAATATACTTGTATGTAAAGTCTCCAAAGTTGTTTCAACATTATTCAATCTTTTTGCTATTTGTATAAAATCAAATGTTATTAATATAACGTATTTTAACAGTGTTTAAATGTTATCCCATGAACAATGTAAAATAACATTAAATCATACATATATTAAACGGTTCAATGAATATTGTAACAACAAATGTTAAAACGAAAGATACCTTTGTGTAAACATTT